CGTTAATTCTTAACTTAGGTTTCGTTCACGTACTTATTCTAACAACAAAAGCCTCGTCAAGCAAGTCACGTCTGCCAGAAAGAGATCTTATCTGTTGGTGACATCGTTAATAAGTAGTAGTGCGCACAACTACTGGTTTCAATTACAAATGTTTCAGTTGCTCAACAGATATTTTTTACTGGCAGCTATATTTTTTTTCTGCTTCGAATATTAAAAAAATAACATTTATTGTATTAATAGTTTCTGATGTTATTATTTTTCTTTACCATATTTAAAGGATTTTATATTAAACGGTCTATAGTAAGTCGTAACAGCAGGAACTTATAATTAAGTTAGCTTAACATTTTTTTAATGTTTTTCCTTTATATTCATGAGGTTCTGAGTTCTTCTGAGTTCTTCTGAGTTCAATATCTTAAAAACACTACCAAAATTTTTGTGCAAAATTGATGACGAAAACATATATCAGAAGGATTTTACGAATAAAATTACTTTTATGAAGCAGTTTTAATGAACTAATTATTAAATTTGCTCTGCAAATAATTTAATATATATGTTTACTGTTATTACGTTATTACCTCTCGACCTCACTCCACCTCACAAATTGGTGTTAATTTGGATAATTCATTAATTTTCGTCGTATAACACAGTCAAAACTTAGTTACCTCGGATAAAAACTTAATAAGAAAGACAATGATGATTTGCAATTCAGTGGAATATTTACTTTGATTTATTTAAAATTTTAGGCATTTCCATTTCAATCTTATAGCAATCTTATATACTAAAGACGGACACACCTATTTTTAACCTTACAATTTTTAACTTGCAATTTTTAACTTCAAATTTTTTACTTCAGATTTTTTACTTCAAATTTTTTACTTCAAATTTTGAACTTCAAATTTTGAACTTCAAATTCTGCAATTTCAAATTGGAACTTAAAATTTGTGAACTTTAAATTTTGAGCATAAAAAATATTGTACAAAGTTTATGAAATTAGAAAAATATAAAAATACATAACTTTATTTCCTCTTCCGTTTAATAGGAACCACTGAGTGATTTTCTTCTTCAGTATATTTCCTTTTTCTAAAGCGAGGAAGTTGATTGACATTTTCTAGTAGTAGCTTTTCGTTCCTCTTCCTAGATTTTGCATTCTTTTTCTTTTTACAAGTTTCCTTCCGTTTCGTCTGGGTGGGTGTAGGTGGACTTACGCGCTGTTTCTTGACCTTCTTGTTGACCTTCTTCTTGGGCTTAGCTTTTTCATCCTGCATTTCGGTCCTAATACACTTAACGTTTTCACGTTCCTTCTTAATAACTTTTACTTTCTTTTTAGTGTCTTTTTTCGCTTGAGTCTTTCTGGCTCTTACGGCATCTGTATTAACCTTACCCTTACCACATTTTCCACTTAACATCCGTGCCGTGACAGAGCGTGTAACAATAATGGAGCGTCTAACAGTAATAGATTTGCATCTAAGTGCTTTTCCAGTCGCAGCATCAGCTTCACTATTTGAAGACACCACTTGTTTTAATTTCTCGCGATCCATTATTAAGCTTTGGCAATGGACTAAACTACTCGGACTCTGTTTGTAGTAAAAGTTGTTTCTTGCTTTCTATTAAAAATAAATTGGTTGGTACGATATACCTCTAGCAAAGGACCTGATTTTCTAACATACAATCAGACTGATTGATAGTTTTTAAATATTTTTCAATTGAAGTTAAATTTAATTCGAATTTTGACTTCTATTTAGCTTGCTTATTTAAATATACAAAATTCATTCAATTTACAGAAAAATAATATTTTTCCCAAACACTGAGGGGGGAAAAGGAAATAAAAGTAAGAGACCTTTAAGTCTATTTTCTTTGTGAACAATAACACAGATTGCTGAAAAGAATCTATTTGGGAAAATTCTTTATCATAATTTACAGTAACGACAATTTCCAAGATTTATATAATTTAATAATAAATAGGGCATCAAATTTATCAATATTTTAAATACTGAAAATTTTTGTTCATTTGAAATGTTTACAATTAGAGGTGTTTTTGAATAAACTTTTCTTAGAAACCCTACAAGCTGGAAAATATATTGGACTCTTTGGTATTAAAGTCCTTAGCGATACCACTTAGTGCAATTAATAGGGTGTGATCGCAAATCACCAATAAGGTGACTACAACTAAGTATTCCTGGTTCTGCTCCCAATCAGAAAATGTTTTTTCGCGGGTTTAATAGTCACTGATCCATCAGTGTCACAATAATTACTTTAAATCATTACTATTACGAACTGTTACGATAATAACGAACTACAAAATTTATAAGAAATCTCTTGGAAGAATTGTAGCAGGCTCTTCTTACCTTACAGATGTTGTCTTTCCCAAAAGTTATTTCTGTTTTTATCATAAAATCGTTGTATACGCGGTTGATGACAATTTTGATATCAGTCTGGATCCTCAGTGGTGATTATGTGCATATTTTATCAATTTCGTTATCTATCTCGATTTGTAAAAAATCAATGCGCTCAGAAGCCCAGAACACATGGAACTTCCTTTCGGTTTCAGTGAATCAATGGATTGTTTCTATTTAAATACATTTTATAAAAATGCGTTGTGCGCTGTAGTTGGTAATATAATCCGATATAGTCCGATTGTCAGTATAAAATTTTTATTGTATATAATTTTTACACTTTAAATTTGAACAATAAAAGTTTTCACTACTTTGTGCGGATTTAGCTTCTAATTTTATAGGTTCAAAGTCTTGAGACTGCCACTTGTAGTCCAACAATTATACTGACTTAAAAACCAAAAACAATTCTGCTTAGGTATTAAATAAGACATTTTGTTATTATATTTCACTACTATTCAAAAATCGAGCTATAAACAATTATAGTCGTTTTTTCTTTTGAAACGACTACATATTTCTTTTGTATAGAAGATGCTTCAATAATGTGATTGCCAATATGACTACGTGATATATAATTATTAGCAGTTTAATGCAGCATTAGATCTGTTTTCAATTTTTTAGCCATCCATGATCACATCCATGAAAGTGAAACCTTCAGCGTTTTGATACCAGACCTTTGTCCAACCATCTGTATTTACTTCTTGTTGCTGTTTAGTATTTATAATCCATGTCTGTTGATTGACTTGTCCAAAGTCCGTTTTTTAAAAATTTAGACCTTTGAATGTTGGAACCCTACTTTATTGGTCTGCGCTACTTTTCGGCATACAAATCCGTTGATGGCATGATTTAAATAATTTTAAGGGCATCTGCTGACTTTAAGAGTAGCCGCTGCACTTGAAGCAACCAATAAAGAGTTTTTTTCTAGTAAAATTTTTTATATTATCTTATCTGCTGCATTCTAGGACTTATGGTGTTTTTATAAGGTCGTAGTAACATTTGCTTATTGATTGGGTTTTCACAAGGGGAGAAACCCTTTTAATAATAATATAAGAGAATCAATAATAACTACGTCCTCTGATAGTACTCGTAATTGAAATAATTTGATTTCAGTTTATTTCGTATTTACCTGTCATTCCCATATTTATTTATCTCACTTTTATTTTTCCCACATATATTAATATTTCATCGCAGACAGATCAAGTATTTGCTGTTTAAACATTGGTCCGACAACTTTAAATAATTTTATTCGCAAATTACCTGACTTCATAACAGATAAGTAATAGTAGGTTTTTTACTTAATGAAAGGTTTCAATGTGTCCACTACATAAATAAATAGATCATAAGAAATATTCGTATGGAAATAACACGTTCTAGAATAAGAGTAGAACACAAAGTCCAGAAAGTCCAGGTTTACAATCTGTGATAACAAGTTTTATAATCAGATTTTAATCCAGTACTCTTGTTTTTATTTTTAAGTTATATATAAATAATAATGACACTTCAAATATATTTGTATTTTATGACAAAAAAGAACAGTCAAATCAACTTAATAAAAAATTTTCGATAAAAATTTCTTAATATTTTCATAAGAATTTGACTGATATATACTATATTTTTCAATCAAAATAATTATGTGGTTATTTAAGAAATTATTTGGCAAATCAAACGTGGAAGAAAGGTAATTAATTTTTATGAAAATTATAAATTAGATTAATATTCATAAAAACTTTTTTCTCTAATTTCTTTTTGTGATTAATCTCCGTAATACCACAGCCGGAACACAGAAGCATCTGGAATCGATGCAATACCAAATACGGACTTAGCAGGATCGAGCTGCAGTTCGCAATCTCCTCCAATTGAACAGGTAACGATGGTGTGTAATGAGACGTCAGTTTCGGACAGTAATTTAAGTATCCGTGGTAGTGTCGTTTGTGATGATCTACCACAAAGGCAACTATTACCTGTAGAAAAGACAGAGCTCAAGATAGAACACGTTTATAATTTACGTAGTCGTAGCAAAAATTCAATTTCAGAGAGCCTTAATGTAAATGAAGAAGGTTTAACTTCTCGAGTTGTGAATGATGAAAAGACAATCTGTGGACAAAAGCAATCCATTCATGCGCAAGATCTTGGTAAGCGAAAGAAGGATGAATTAACTCAACATGGTGGTGGTGATACTATAAGCCGTTCGGTTGTAATAAATGAAACAAAACTTGAGAAGAAACTCAATATTGCAAAACGTAAAAGGTGTAGCACTGATGAGGCTGCAACAGCTAAAAGGATACGTACTGAGGACGAGGATGGAAATGATGCTTCCAATATGGACACAAGGGATGCTGAATAAGAAGAGTAAAACTTGAAATATAACTAAAGAAAAAGTCCACCTTAATAAATATTTATTTTCGTATTTATTATATTCAAATAGTAAGACATATTTAAAAAAAAAAATTTATGTGTTAAAAGTGATTAACAAATTCTATTAAAAATAATCATTTTGCATATATATTCTGACATCATGTATATATCTCTGAATAAATTCTTTGAATTAAAACGTTCGATTTAAACTGATAGTTTCTTAGATACTCATTGAAACAACAACATATCCCAGTACTGTATAACTTTTAGTTCCAATTAATCAATGATACGGAGAGTATGGGAGAAAGTTAATCAACTATCCACACTATTTCTGCAGTACTGAAGTTTAGACAGATTTTCAATTTCCAGATAGAAGACGAAAGTAAACTCAATTTGAGTTTGTGGTCGTAGATATAATATTGGTAGCAGATATAAGATAGACACATAAGAGGTAGCAAATACTCGTACTACAAAACAACAATTCATTGAAATTCGGCTTGGAGAAATAATCTACACACATGAATGCAAGTAGCTCAATAGATCTCTTGGTCTTTTACTTTCGGATCCAATTGATTCCGTTAATTCTTAACTTAGGTTTCGTTCACGTACTTATTCTAACAACAAAAGCCTCGTCAAGCAAGTCACGTCTGCCAGAAAGAGATCTTATCTGTTGGTGACATCGTTAATAAGTAGTAGTGCGCACAACTACTGGTTTCAATTACAAATGTTTCAGTTGCTCAACAGATATTTTTTACTGGCAGCTATATTTTTTTTCTGCTTCGAATATTAAAAAAATAACATTTATTGTATTAATAGTTTCTGATGTTATTATTTTTCTTTACCATATTTAAAGGATTTTATATTAAACGGTCTATAGTAAGTCGTAACAGCAGGAACTTATAATTAAGTTAGCTTAACATTTTTTTAATGTTTTTCCTTTATATTCATGAGGTTCTGAGTTCTTCTGAGTTCTTCTGAGTTCAATATCTTAAAAACACTACCAAAATTTTTGTGCAAAATTGATGACGAAAACATATATCAGAAGGACTTTACGAATAAAATTACTTTTATGAAGCAGTTTTAATGAACTAATTATTAAATTTGCTCTGCAAATAATTTAATATATATGTTTACTGTTATTACGTTATTACCTCTCGACCTCACTCCACCTCACAAATTGGTGTTAATTTGGATAATTCATTAATTTTCGTCGTATAACACAGTCAAAACTTAGTTACCTCGGATAAAAACTTAATAAGAAAGACAATGATGATTTGCAATTCAGTGGAATATTTACTTTGATTTATTTAAAATTTTAGGCATTTCCATTTCAATCTTATAGCAATCTTATATACTAAAGACGGACACACCTATTTTTAACCTTACAATTTTTAACTTGCAATTTTTAACTTCAAATTTTTTACTTCAGATTTTTTACTTCAAATTTTGAACTTCAAATTTTGAACTTCAAATTTTGAACTTCAAATTTTGCAATTTCAAATTGGAACTTAAAATTTGTGAACTTTAAATTTTGAGCATAAAAAATATTGTACAAAGTTTATGAAATTAGAAAAATATAAAAATACATAACTTTATTTCCTCTTCCGTTTAATAGGAACCACTGAGTGATTTTCTTCTTCAGTATATTTCCTTTTTCTAAACCGAGGAAGTTGATCGACATTTTCTAGTAGTAGCTTTTCGTTCCTCTTCCTAGATTTTGCATTCTTTTTCTTTTTACAAATTTCCTTCCGTTTCGTCTGGGTGGGTGTAGGTGGACTTACGCGCTGTTTCTTGACCTTCTTGTTGACCTTCTTCTTGGGCTTAGCTTTTTCATCCTGCATTTCGGTCCTAATACACTTAACGTTTTCACGTTCCTTCTTAATAACTTTTACTTTCTTTTTAGTGTCTTTTTTCGCTTGAGTCTTTCTGGCTCTTACGGCATCTGTATTAACCTTACCCTTACCACATTTTCCACTTAACATCCGTGCCGTGACAGAGCGTGTAACAATAATGGAGCGTCTAACAGTAATAGATTTGCATCTAAGTGCTTTTCCAGTCGCAGCATCAGCTTCACTATTTGAAGACACCACTTGTTTTAATTTCTGGCGATCCATTATTAAGCTTTGGCAATGGACTAAACTACTCGGACTCTGTTTGTAGTAAAAGTTGTTTCTTGCTTTCTATTAAAAATAAATTGGTTGGTACGATATACCTCTAGCAAAGGACCTGATTTTCTAACACACAATCAGACTGATTGATAGTTTTTAAATATTTTTCAATTGAAGTTAAATTTAATTCGAATTTTGACTTCTATTTAGCTTGCTTATTTAAATATACAAAATTCATTCAATTTACAGAAAAATAATATTTTTCCCAAACACTGAGGGGGGAAAAGGAAATAAAAATAAGAGACCTTTAAGTCTATTTTCTTTGTGAACAATAACACAGATTGCTGAAAAGAATCTATTTGGGAAAATTCTTTATCATAATTTACAGTAACGACAATTTCCAAGATTTATATAATTTAATAATAAATAGGGCATCAAATTTATCAATATTTTAAATACTGAAAATTTTTGTTCATTTGAAATGTTTACAATTAGAGGCGTTTTTGAATAAACTTTTCTTAGAAACCCTACAAGCTGGAAAATATATTGGACTCTTTGGTATTAAAGTCCTTAGCGATACCACTTAGTGCAATTAATAGGGTGTGATCGCAAATCACCAATAAGGTGACTACAACTAAGTATTCCTGGTTCTGCTCCCAATCAGAAAATGTTTTTTCGCGGGTTTAATAGTCACTGATCCATCAGTGTCACAATAATTACTTTAAATCATTACTATTACGAACTGTTACGATAATAACGAACTACAAAATTTATAAGAAATCTCTTGGAAGAATTGTAGCAGGCTCTTCTTACCTTACAGATGTTGTCTTTCCCAAAAGTTATTTCTGTTTTTATCATAAAATCGTTGTATACGCGGTTGATGACAATTTTGATGTCAGTCTGGATCCTCAGTGGTGATTATGTGCATATTTTATCAATTTCGTTATCTATCTCGATTTGTAAAAAATCAATGCGCTCAGAAGCCCAGAACACATGGAACTTCCTTTCGGTTTCAGTGAATCAATGGATTGTTTCTATTTAAATACATTTTATAAAAATGCGTTGTGCGCTGTAGTTGGTAATATAATCCGATATAGTCCGATTGTCAGTATAAAATTTTTATTGTATATAATTTTTACACTTTAAATTTGAACAATAAAAGTTTTCACTACTTTGTGCGGATTTAGCTTCTAATTTTATAGGTTCAAAGTCTTGAGACTGCCACTTGTAGTCCAACAATTATACTGACTTAAAAACCAAAAACAATTCTGCTTAGGTATTAAATAAGACATTTTGTTATTATATTTCACTACTATTCAAAAATCGAGCTATAAACAATTATAGTCGTTTTTTCTTTTGAAACGACTACATATTTCTTTTGTATAGAAGATGCTTCAATAATGTGATTGCCAATATGACTACGTGATATATAATTATTAGCAGTTTAATGCAGCATTAGATCTGTTTTCAATTTTTTAGCCATCCATGATCACATCCATGAAAGTGAAACCTTCAGCGTTTTGATACCAGACCTTTGTCCAACCATCTGTATTTACTTCTTGTTGCTGTTTAGTATTTATAATCCATGTCTGTTGATTGACTTGTCCAAAGTCCGTTTTTTAAAAATTTAGACCTTTGAATGTTGGAACCCTACTTTATTGGTCTGCGCTACTTTTCGGCATACAAATCCGTTGATGGCATGATTTAAATAATTTTAAGGGCATCTGCTGACTTTAAGAGTAGCCGCTGCACTTGAAGCAACCAATAAAGAGTTTTTTTCTAGTAAAATTTTTTATATTATCTTATCTGCTGCATTCTAGGACTTATGGTGTTTTTATAAGGTCGTAGTAACATTTGCTTATTGATTGGGTTTTCACAAGGGGAGAAACCCTTTTAATAATAATATAAGAGAATCAATAATAACTACGTCCTCTGATAGTACTCGTAATTGAAATAATTTGATTTCAGTTTATTTCGTATTTACCTGTCATTCCCATATTTATTTATCTCACTTTTATTTTTCCCACATATATTAATATTTCATCGCAGACAGATCAAGTATTTGCTGTTTAAACATTGGTCCGACAACTTTAAATAATTTTATTCGCAAATTACCTGACTTCATAACAGATAAGTAATAGTAGGTTTTTTACTTAATGAAAGGTTTCAATGTGTCCACTACATAAATAAATAGATCATAAGAAATATTCGTATGGAAATAACACGTTCTAGAATAAGAGTAGAACACAAAGTCCAGAAAGTCCAGGTTTACAATCTGTGATAACAAGTTTTATAATCAGATTTTAATCCAGTACTCTTGTTTTTATTTTTAAGTTATATATAAATAATAATGACACTTCAAATATATTTGTATTTTATGACAAAAAAGAACAGTCAAATCAACTTAATAAAAAATTTTCGATAAAAATTTCTTAATATTTTCATAAGAATTTGACTGATATATACTATATTTTTCAATCAAAATAATTATGTGGTTATATAAGAAATTATTTGGCAAATCAAACGTGGAAGAAAGGTAATTAATTTTTATGAAAATTATAAATTAGATTAATATTCATAAAAACTTTTTTCTCTAATTTCTTTTTGTGATTAATCTCCGTCATACCACAGCCGGAACACAGAAGCATCTGGAAACGATGCAATACCAAATACGGACTTAGCAGGATCGAGCTGCAGTTCGCAATCTCCTCCAATTGAACAGGTAACGATGGTGTGTAATGAGACGTCAGTTTCGGACAGTAATTTAAGTATCCGTGGTAGTGTCGTTTGTGATGATCTACCACAAAGGCAACTATTACCTGTAGAAAAGACAGAGCTCAAGATAGAACACGTTTATAATTTACGTAGTCGTAGCAAAAATTCAATTTCAGAGAGCCTTAATGTAAATGAAGAAGGTTTAACTTCTCGAGTTGTGAATGATGAAAAGACAATCTGTGGACAA